TCATTGCAACAGGACTGAGACTTATGGTTATTTTAGTGCTCTGGCCTTCCTAAAGAGAAGCAGAAGTGATCTCACCTTGAAGTTTTGTCCCTGTTGTGGGACACAGGACATTTTGTACTCAAGCCCTGGCAGGCTGGCCATGCCTGACTCCCCGTTGCAGCTGGAGCTGGGACCACTGACCACCTGGCCATGGTCACCCTGCCCTAAAGGCTGTGTCCTCCTGCGCATCCTGGGCTGGTGCAGGCTGGAGCCCAGCCTGCAGGCAGGCATGCAGGGACTGAGTGAAACAGAGGGCAGGCTGGGCTCAAGGACTGGGATCAGGCAGTGGAAAAGAGCAGTGGAAAATAACTACCTGTGGGAGGTCAGTACTAAGGTATTTGGATAGAGATCCTTGTTTCAGAGTTGAAGGGATGGAAGGAGCTAAGTGTCCAGGTTAGTTTTCTGCAAGAGATGCTGACCTTCATCAGAGGCGTAGAGGCTCTGGTGTCTGGTACCTGCTGTGGGGTTAGGGAGGTTATCTCAAGTGTGTGAGACCTCCCCAGCACCAGCCTATGTAGGAAAGGCAAATAGTTCTGTGCAGTGTTGTGAGGTTTTCTCTGTCGTTTACTCATTAACCCGGACCCACTGCTCTGGCCTGTGTTTGCCCTTGAGTTCCACACGTCCTTGTGTTTGCTTTGCTGAGCAGAGTCTTGCACAATGGAGCAGGGCACTCTGCCTGCAGAGTTACACAGTGGGTTCTCCTCTGCATCCATTGCTACTCTGGGGGACTTGTTGACTTTCTCCATTGTATTGCTGAGTGGCCCAGGATATTGAGGGTCACAATTTAAAATGTATATTTTAGGAAAATTCAAACACCTACCTTGTTATGATTCTGTGGCTTGATGCCTTGTATTCCCGGTCCTGTCATACCCTGATGTGTAACTGCATTGTAACAATAGTCTGCCTGGTCTAGCACCCATCCAAATGAAGTTTATATGCAGTTGTGGCTGACACACATCTGGCAAGGAGACCATGACACGATCATGCTGAATTCCCATGGGATCGTGAGTGGGTCATGCTGCTTTCTGTCTGGCAAGGTCTGTGTTCACTCCCCAGCATTTTCACATCACGACTGAGCTGGAGCAGCAGGATGTGTTTTCATCCTCTCCTATCTGATTGGCCGGCTTCAACAGTCTCCTAGATATTTATTCCAATATTTTCACCTCACAGTCACCTCAGGGTGCTCAGCCTGTGCTTTTGTCTAACAGCTACCAGCCACTTTGGAGAGCAATACCTCTTAGGCCTGCCAAAATCCTCTGAGAGTGACACTGATTCTGCAGTGTAAATGCAGCAAGCAGAGGGATTGCCCTGCTGGTGACTCCTGCAAAGTGTTGTAGAGAGGACAGGCTTCCAAGACTTCAACACTATAAAGTCTGTGCTTACCAGGAGCTGAAACATCAGTGCTGTTAGGGCTAAGACAACCTCACTGCCCTGACATTGCTGCAGGTGGGTGGGAGGGAGAAATGGGAATGAAAGTGCATAATATACAGTGTTTTTTTGCAAGAAAGAATGGACTTATACAGCTGACCATCTCTGCCATGTCAGACAATTGGAAAAAAGTGCTTCCTTTCAATCCAAAGTTTAATACAGAGCTTTCTCTGAATGGTGGGACATAAAGGCTTATCCCCTCTTACATGGTCTCTCATAGCTGACTCTGCTCAGCACCCTGTTTTCTGAGACTCTGCTTCTTTTAGTAATTCAAGAGAGAGTTGGAAGGATATAGGCACATGACCTGCTTACAGCTGCAATAGAGTTAATTTTCTTCTAAAGCTGGTATAATGCTGTGTTTAGATTCAGTATGGGAATAATGTTGATAACACAGTGATGTTTTGGTTGTTGAGTAGCTCTCACAGTAAGTCAAGGACTTTGCAGTTTCCCATGCTCTGGAGTGAGCCAGTGAGGAGCTGCACAAAAAGCTGTGAGGGAGCATGGCCAGGACAGCTGACCTGAACTGGCCAAAGGGATATTCCATACTGTAGAGCATCATGACCAGTATATAAACTGGGAGAGTTGGCTGGGGGTGACAATTGCTGTTCAGGGATGGGCTGGGCATCGGTCACTGGGTGGTGAGCAACTGCACTGTGCATCATTTGAGTTTCTTGCATTTTATTCTTCTCTTTTTTATCCCCTTGTTGTTGTTGTTGTTGATAATAGCAATACCAATAATTGTTAGTAACAACAGCAACAACAAAACAACAATAATTTTGCTTTATTTCAATTATTAAACTATTCTTATCTCAACTCTTAGGTTTTACCTTTTTCTGATTATCTTCCCTATCTGTCCAAGTGGCGGGATAGAGTGGTTCTTAGTTGCCAGCTGGGGTTATACCACAACACCCATTCAAAGGAACATTTAATCCATCTGTAGAATGTGTAAGACAAACCACAGAAATCACTGTTATGCCACTGCACCTTTTACTCTTTTGCAATGGCTTGATGGATTTCACATGGCTGATGTCTGATGATGTGAACCCAGCACTCATCCTCCCAGTCAGCTCCAGTCACTCCTGTGAACCTAGACCTCAATTGCTGAGAACATAGATGCAGAAACATGGCTGAATTTGGAAAACATAATCTTTGCCATGAAACTCATGTATGCATAAGGATACTACAGGCTAAGTAAAATGAACAACAATATCATTTTGAGCCTGCAGCCATTACTGAAGTCCCACACCAGAACAGTTTAGTGTATAGCAGGTTGCAATAAAGAAATCAAGGGCTTAAATGCAGAATTTCTTGAGGGAATGGATGAAAAAGAGCACAAAGAAACATGATTCTTTAGTGTATGTAAATTTATTCAACTCTGAAATTGTTTATTTACAACTAATGACTGATACCAACAGATGAGGTAAAAATATGAGGTATTGATATGAGTATAACATTTAAAAATGCAATTATCATAATGTATCATGTAACAATACAAAATACTGTGGTAGTTGAATGTAGACATGGCATAATGTGCATTTTGAAGAAATCTTATTTCAACAATACATGGCTTGGAGATGCCAGAAGCTCATGACAGAGCTTCTGCAAGGGCAGGATGACAGCCCTACCCTGCTAAGGGTGGCAAGTGGCACAGGGCCTCTTCCAGCTGAGCAATGACTTGTGAGACAGGATAAAACCACTGTCCAGGTTTTCCCTTCTTTTCCTTAAGACATGATTTACTGCCAGACACTGCCATTCCCAGGGCCAGAAACTGTGCCTGTTAATGCTGAGGCACTGTATTTATTTATGTAAACTAATGTAGCAGAAGTACTCTAATTGCTCATGTTTTGGAAAACAGCTGGCATGAAATCTGCTGCCATGGCCACGGGTGTTTGGGAGGAGGTGCTGCTTTCTGGAATGGCATTCTCAGCTGGGGAGGCACTGTTTGCTCCTGGGAAGGCTGAGCCTGGGCAGTGGTGGTGCCTGCAGCCAGCAGGTGACTGCCAGACCCCAACACGGCCACATAAGGGCCCCGTGAGTGCTCCCCTGTCTGCAGGACTTAAAGCTCATGATAATTGCACATTGCAACTATTGGCCATAAACTCGAGGCAGGAGCTCCCAGGCAGCCAACATCCCTGATCCTAGGACTTGCACAACAAAACATGAGTGACACAGCTCGTGGGCAAAGATGACAGTGACTTTTTGGAGCCCTGCTCCTTCACAAGGACACGCTGGAGCACTGTGGGTCACCTTGGGTCTCCCTATCCACCCTGAGCTCCCACAGTGTGCTTCCTCAGCTCACAGGGCTGTCCCCTGCCAGCACAGCCCCCATGTGTGTGCAGGATGCCACATGGGGTCATGCTCTAGCAGCTGTCACCAAACACAGTCCACTGCACAGCTCCCACACCTGGGGAATGTTCAAAGCCCTGGCTTTGAAGAGACTTCCTCATTCACTGAATCAGGGCACAAAGCTGTAGCTTCATATAGGAAATGCATCCTGCTTAATCGACCTCATACTAATCTTTCTGGATTTTGTTGGAAGGACTGAGCTGAAACACTGGCTGTGAGTGACTCCACTGATTTATGCAGCAATAAATAAAGTCTAAGTGAGCAAATGTGATTAATAAAGAACAGTATTAACAGGCTTGTACATTCTTATTGAGTCATAGATGTAATAACATTTTGGTCGTAGGTTAGTTAAAAACAAAATGGAACCCTGCCTCAAAGGCAATGTCGACAAATTATTATTATTACTTTTAAAGCATTCTTCCATTAGCAAAATAATAGGTCCCTGAAAATGAAATTATATAATAGGCTTAAATGGCTCCTACTCCTCATAGTCCTAACCCTGCTCCCACCAATGCCTCCAGAGGTGGGATCATACAGATCAGTGCAATATAAGATGAAAATGCTTGCTGTTACTATAAAAGCAATCTTTCAAAGAACAGCATTTATTTAGTCTTTTAAATATCCAAGATGTGTTTAAAATATTAAAAAAGCATAGTTATTTGTATAGTAAGAATATTAAAAGGCATGGTGTTCATCTGCACATCTTTGTGTCCACTGGATGTGGAAAACCTGCTTTGGATTAGCCATCTCTATGGGAGAAGGAAAGAGCACAGAAATACTCAGAACCTAGACAAAATGCTTACAAAAATTAAGTAATTTACAGCTTAATAACTTACCAGTCTGATTTCAGCCATCTCAGGACACACAGCATTACCCTGTGATGTCTGAGGATGAGCAGTTTCCTGGAACACTGCACACAGTGAGGTTCTCTACTGACAGACACCAGTCATTAAGGCAACAGGTAAGTTTTCAACACCTTCTACTAAAAGTCACAATTCTGCAGCTGAACATAAATGGCCTCCACAATGTCCTGTCTCAGATGCATCTCCATGTATTTTATTTGGTGAGACTGATTCCCTCCTCATTATTTTTAAATGCACTGTAACCTCCTTCTTCCTTAGTTCCTGTAGTTCTTCCTACATCTATTTCTAGGTACCTTCTCATAGCACACACAAACACAAAACATATTTGAGAACAGGCGTTTGTTATCACACGAATTATGCCTGGTAGCCCTGTGACAACAGCAAACACAGCTTATGTAGCAGTGACACACTAAGAAACAAGTGACAGATCCACTTAAGGTCCAACTGATGCAAGTGATTTGCACTGAGTTATATACAAAATAATTAATTTATACATATACATATATATATATAGATAGAATATAGATAACTATATACATACTGTACATTATTTATTTACAATTAAAATATGCTTCTTAGAAGCCTTTAAATAACAGAGTTACATAACATACAAGTAATGGCAATAATCTGTTTTTAAAGTAATAAAAGCTCTCTGAAGAAATGTTTAGTTCAATAATCAAAATTAATACAGTGGACATGGGGGAGGGGGGAAGGTGAAGTCTCCAGAAAAAAAGAACTTTCCTATAAAATTCCTTTTTCGGCTTTGTGTAGACCCAGGTCTGGTCACATTTCTGCAGCTTAAATAAGAATTTTGCTTTCAGTATACCTGTTCCCTGCCAGACTCTGATTTATGCTCACATGCTCCCAGGAATACTTCCTCAGATTTTTGTTTCTGGTCCCTCAGCAATCAGAGGTTGAAATGAGTTTCTGATCCTGGCAACTTCTGCTGCACACAGATGTCCAAAGCCTTTGTTGTACCACTCTGGGGAATGTCCTCTGAAGAAATGAAAAGAGAATTATTGAGAAACTCAAATACTCAAGAAGCATGCCCCACAGAAACGTGCTTCCCATGTCTCCTGCTTCCCACTGCCCATGGTGGAGATTCAAATACTTGTCTTTTTAAGTGTACTTTGAAGTTCTCCCTTGCAGTAATCAAATAAGCAGATATTATTTCTAAGATCATGTCCTAACAGTGTTCTTAGGCACTGAGTGCAGAGAAGACTGCAGGAAAACTCTAAAGCAGCAAAGCTACCCTAACCATGGTCTCTGTTCCCAACATCTCCTCTCCCTGAGCTTGAGGGTTTTGTCCTGCTGAATGGGCATTACTTTGTGCAGGTGGGATACTTACTTTAGGTCAATCCTGCAGATGTGGGTCAGCCTGGCTTTTCCTGAGCCACAGGGCTCTATCAAGTACTGGGAGTCCATGACGATGGCTCGCACAGCTCCCATGAGAGGAGCCTCCTCGTGCTCCACAGAGATGGCAACCAGCATGCACATCCCCTTGGGCAAATCTGTCCTCCACGTCCTGCAGGAATGGATGCAAGATGGAATCACATTAGCTATGAAACTTTTGGGCACGTGAGTAAGAACCAGAACTGAAGTTTGCTTCTCTGCCTATCCTTGTTGCCTGCAATGCCAGTGGACTGTCCCAGGGGTCCCTGGTGGAGTTTCATGTTCCCCAGCTGGTAGTCTGACCATGATGTGGAATGACCACCCATCTATGTGGCTCCAGGTGGAGAAGTTTTGCTTCTCCACGGGATATTTTGTAACCATTCGTATTCTAGGGCATGATAGAGCCTTTTGCTGTCAGACAAAAGTTTTGGAAAGGAGAAGGACCGATGATAAACCATCCAGCAAAAGCTGAAACTGTGCATTGTACCCATGCAGGCTTACAGAACAAGAAATGCAGTTTAGTACAGCAGAAATCCTCATTAATACCCAGAATATGTTTCAAAGGTGTCTGAATTAAAAGCAAAATGTCCTTCCATTTCTTTCCTATCCCAAGTTTCTAGCCTCTCTTACATGCTGGAGAAGTTTTCCACCAAGTTCGATACCTAGACTTTAATATTTAGCACTTTTTTGTTGTTCTGTAAGCATTTTCTACATACCCTTGTGTCTCACATCTTTCTCATCTGCACTGAATCTCAGAGGATAGGTCTGTGCTCTTTCCTATACTGTGGGAAGAAATGAGAAATTCCCACTGTGCTGTGCAACATGCATCATCTTGCTGTGGATTGTCTGAGACAGGGATTATGCTTCCTTGGGAAGTATCACATTTTAGCAGGTAAGCTGCTTTCAAGGACTGTTGAAGTTTGGACTTCAGCAGATAATTTTAACATTCTGCATTTTTCTTACATGAAACTGAGCTGTTATTCAAGACACTGGAGGAAGATACTGACCTGAAGATTTTACATGGGCATTAATAAAACTGATGAACTATCTTGGCAGATGAAACACATGAGAGAAGGAAATCACAGCTGAGATCCAGTATGAGAAATGCTGAATCACCTCCTGTGGGTGCTTGCACAGTGTTTAGATGTGCCCACATCATTTTTGTAACTACCCAGCACTACCTGGGCCATTTGGGAAGTAGAAAGTTCTCTATACCAGAGACTTCAGAAGACTTATGTTTCCTGCTCCCAGTCATATGGATTTAGGCCCGTTTCAGTAGTTCTTTAAATGCCTTACAGTAGTAAAATCAGCCATGGCACCTAACTCACCAAAATGCTGTCACACTTAATGAACATTAAACACTTGTGGATTCTTTAATAGAAGTGATGCCTGTGCAGGGCAGCTGAGAGCTGTGTCATATCCCAGGCATATGAAACATTTCCCCTCTCCTCTTACCATCAGAATCTTCTCTAGGGAGCCTAATCCCCTTGTTATGACTGTCACATTGAAAAAAAAAAAAAGGGAACAACTAAGTTGATCCTTTCACAGCCCAAAGTTTGACTGAGAAGGAGAACATTGCCATCTGTTAAAATATATTTATTAATGTCCCCAGAGGTGTATTATAATTTCACTGTTCACTTCCCACCAATCATAAGGTATGAAATTGACTGCGGTATTGCTGGCTAACCTTGCTCTAGACTTAATGATATCAGTCAAAAGAGATAAACAACAGAACCTGACAGATCTGCCTGATGGCTGTTTCCAGCCCTTAAGAACCCACCAGGATTCATTCTTATGATATGTATTTCAGTCCTCGGGGGTCATTCTGCCTGGGTTAGTGAAAAGAATGAGAACTCGATAGCAGGATTTTCCTTTAACTGATTTGACTGCACAGCAGGTTTTTAAAGAACATAAACCACCACGAAACCTAATAGTGAACTAAGTGGCAAATGAGAGGACCAAATTACAGCCATCAGAACCTCCCTGCCGCTCACAGGCCATCTTCTCGGTGCCATGCACAGGGCCAAATTTATCACTGGTTCAAGCTAATGACATTATATAAAAAGATTATTTATAAAATAATGATAGATATATAATTATATAAAATATATAATGTATATTTGATTATAAAATAGTTAATTTAGCCCAGTATACTCTGGCAAGGCAAAGGAAATAGAGTAATGGGAGCATTGGTTACAGAAAGCATTTTTTAAAGCTTCCCCTAAGAGTTCCAATAATTCTTCCCTTATACCAACAATATCTGCATGTTGTCATCCTTTAAGAGACTACTAAAGTTCATTAAAGTTCATGTACTTTTGTAATTATATTTTATTTGGCTCATCTTTTTCCTTCAATCTTCATTCCCTTTAATACAATTCTGACTCCCTGAACTACTTCCTTTTTCAAAACTGCTTTGTATTTCTCTGGCACGTCATTCCAATCAAAGAAAGCAGGGACCAAAAACGGGAATGCACAAAATCATCCTGAAATAAATAACTGTAGGACCGACCCTGTAAGTGAAATATGTCAGCAGCTCCACAATAGCTCCTAGCAAGCAAAGGCCAGAATTTCAAAGACAGAAGGTGCATAAGAGGGTTTTTGGTTTTTTTTTGACTGTTCTGTACAAGCAGATAGACAATGGCAGAACTGGGATTGAATGTGGAATATTGATACACAGCTATACATTTATTTGAGAGAAGTCATCCCCTGGAAGAGAGAATACAAATCTACTGCATCTTTCTGTTCATTTCCACACTAGGATTTTTATGGATCAGCATTTCTTCATTTACAAAGACTCCAACTGAAAATTTAGGATAATAACTTATATAGACACTGTATAACAGCCTTAGCCTAAAAGCACCACTATCTTCTCTTCTAAACATTTGGCTCTTAAACATCAAACATTCCCCAGAGAACAGCAAAAGCAGAGTAAAAAACAATTGGGTTCTATTTGCACTGTTTTGACAACAAACAAAGCTAAGAGAGAAGAGCAGCTATTATCAGACATCTGTTCTGAGGAAGAAATGATATTTATGGCCTCAGGAGTATGTGCTGCTCAAATTACATCAGAGAAAAGGTCAGCATGCTCTAGGTGTATGACTAATTCAGTTTGAGAAATCAACACTGCTGCCCAGAAGTAGAGTTCCTGGAGAGCAATTACACAGATGTGAAGGCTGAGATAAGTCCAGACCTTCCTTTATGCATTGCAGGAGGCAAAGGTGCCAGAGAACCACCCTCAGCTTACCTGAGAACAACAAAGTCTCGGACGGGGTGAGGAGCCATGCTGTTCAAAACATACTGGTAAACTTCTGTCTGCTTGTCCAGGCTCTCCACCACCTTCCACTGCAAGAAGTCCTCGTCCCAGAGGTGACGTTCTCTCAGCACTCGGTTCAACACAACTGATGGGGGGGCTTCAACTTCAACTGAGGCTTTCCAAAGCCTTAGTGGGTTACCATCCCCAACCTGAAGTGACCAAGAACACAAACCCCTATAATTTATATGCCTATGCTCAGCAGATGATAACTGAGGACAAAATCTCAATGTGTATGTCTGACTTCAGCATAAGAGCATTCATTTTTCCCTGCTAATCATTACTGTTATTGCTATTGCTGCTGCTCTACTAGTCCTGGATGGAAATCTGAAGTGATTCATTACTTTGCTCTCACAACAGAATAAATCTGGACTAGTTCTCATAGAGCCAGTGAGGTTCTGCATTACTTCTGGTGTGACAGACAATTTTCCAAGAATTTTCCAAGTCAAATATCCTAAGTGTAATGATGAATATGTGTCTGCAGAAGTAAAAAGAGATGAAGGATTGCTGAAATCCTGGGCTGAAATAAAGCAACTACCTTTGGCAATCTTATACACTACCTGGGACTGAGAGTCTATTAACCCTCCTGGTTAATTCTGGGGGAGCAGAACATGCATTGATTCAGTTATGTATCAGGTACACAGATGTTTGCTCCTCAAAATAGCTGCAAGAGTGGTGTTGGGAAAACACCTTTCAAAGAGCACAGACTGATTGCTAACTCCTCCTTGCTCACAGATCCTGTTTCTTGAAAGAACTTCCAAAGCTTACAGAAAGAGGAGCAGAAAGTGCTGGGCTATGCACAAGGTGAATATCTTAGATTGCACACATACAGCTTTTCTGCGTGGTTTTAGAGGTCCTATTTCAGGCAGTAAAGAATTTAACTGTACTCACTGCATCTTGCAAGCCCTGCTGTTCTAACCCTTCCTACCCTACCGTTCTCATGTACCAATATGAGTACTTTGGAAACCTCTAGTACCTCCCACAGACCCAGGACTGTTTCCTCAGAAACCCACCTTCCACACCTCCCACTTTAAACTATTTCATGTTGTTGTAATTCTTTCTCCCCAAAGCTTTCAGCTCCCCATTTCCCCTGCCCTGGAGCCCCAGGCTCCCAATCCCCTCTGTAGTCTCACAGGTCCTTGACACTGGCCTTACAGCCATCAATTCCCTCTCTCCCATCTCCCACATCCTGCTCCCACCTGTTACTCTGTCCCCGGCCTCCCACAGACCCTCCCTGGAGAGGTGACTCACAGAACCTGGCTACAAAACACAGTACCTGAATTTCTTTGGCCTTACAGAGGGGTTGCACATTCCCGAGCTGGGGTAATGCTGCCCCCTCACCATCCTGATCTCACATTTCCCCCGTGCCCTTCTCCTGCCTAATTAGTGTCACCCACCCCGAATCCATCCCCTCCTCTTGCTAGCTGCTGCTGGTTTGGAGACCTCTGCTTTGATATTGCATTTCCAGCAGCCTTTAACTCCACTCTCTGCAGAGACCCTGCAGCACCCTCTGCCTCACTGCAGAGGTTTGGCTTTCCCTGAAAAAGTGATGGAGCCTGAAACAAATTCAGAAATTTTAATAAAAGCTGCAGTATCAAAAATCCACATGAAAAAAGGACAAAAGGATCAGGGATAAAGCTGCCTGCTTAAAAAACACAGGAGAGTCTGAAAAAGTTTTGTAATTACCTATATTCTAGCTGTGTTCTCCAAACTGCTAGCAAACACCAAGAACTGGTCAGAAACTTTTCATGTCCCCCAGTCAAAGAGCTTGCTCAGGTCATGTTCTCTGTTGTTTAGCATCTCAGCTCAACTCTCTGGTTGTGTTGTTTGCTGTATCACTTATTTGATCTATTTTGGAGACCCCAGCTTGCTTGGTGTGCCTTTTTCTGGAATCTCATACATAAATCACTATTATATTACATTTATAACTGCTTTGAGTAATCTTTAAAAAAACCCAAAAAACAAAAAAGAGTGCCTTGCCAGAAAGAAGGGTGTGAGTTTTACGATGAAACATGCCAGGGTCCCCTATAGCTGCATTTTGCTTTGGTTTCCTTGCTGCTTCTTTCATATCTTCCCAACTTACCTTTTTGTAGGCGAGTTCTGCATTCTCTACACTGGAACACGTGACCCATCCTTTGAATTTCTCTTTTGCTTCTTTCTGGAGATTCTGCATGAGAGTTTCCAGGTACATCTGATAGTTCCCTCCTTCCTCATCCACTTGTTTGCCAAGCTCATCCAGGGTAGGAGAATGTACTTCTGCATCAACATAGGAGTTTCGGGATTGGGTGATCATCTCGTGTGGGACCTGTGGCACAGAAGGGAGGGAAAACACACATGGAAAATCTCCTGCTGAGAACTTTTCCTTAAGACAATGTTTCTAGACTGATGGACCATTCAGCAACAGACTGGACGAATCTATGATCTGTAAAATGCACACCAATTTCTGTCTTTATGCAAGATGAAACATTAAAGTAGTCTAATGCAACAGCCCGTGGCTCAGAACAGCACTGCTCAAGCAAAGCCCTGTTAGACTGAGCAACTGGATGCCAATACACCACTGTTACTCCTTCAGCCCTCAGAAATATTGCCTTGTGCTTCTGGGGAAACGAGATATGAGCATTTGCTCTCCTCCAGCTGCAGTGTAAGCAGCTGCAGGAATGATTGCAGCTCTCTATGTGATTTTTACTTTATTGCATGACACAAAGAAATAAAATGTATAAGCAATTATTTTTAAGATGAATAAGTTTTAATTGAGGCCCTAAAAGCGTTGTAATACGATTTTATACTTTTTACTGCTTTTTTGAGCAGATTTTGATTTGAATTAGACTAAAATTTCCTAATCCAGTGGTTTGGGTTGAAAACTGTCACAGAATAATTACCCTGCATCTTTTGAATACTAAAAGGGAACCGCCATAAAGAAATGAGATAAATAAACTTTGGATGAAGCAAGTTTACAAATAAGTGAGGCACCAATCTCTGAGCTAACACAAAACAGAAAATATAAGCATAAACATAAATACTTCAAAGGATGCTGCATTATGAGCCCATGAATAATGCTGTTTGAGTCTCTCACTCACCTCAAAAAGTTTGTTGCATTCCATTATCATGTGAGCAAGTCCCTGAGTAGCTGCCAGGTTTTCACTGAGGTCCTTCTGATCTGGCTTCCCTGTTGCATATTTTTTCTGTATTACTCTGTAATTGAATTCAGTATCTCAGGTAAAGAGCTGAATCTTTTTAATATGAAAGCAAAAAGCAGCAGGATATTCCCAACATCAAAGAGAAAACCCCCCTATCTTTAGTTTCTATTTATCACCAAGACTGCTCAAACTGTTGGGCCTTTTTTAAAGGAAAAGTGTTTACCTAAAATATTGCTCAGCCAAAGGTAAAAGCAGGAAAGGTTATGCATATCCTGCATGATGTGTTGTATATTTTGAAATGGATTTTTAACAGACATGATGTAAAGTGGTTTACATTGTTACTGCTTAAAGCCCTTGTTCAGACATGGGTTATATATGTACTTGACCAAGAATCTCAGTGTATCCTGAACCAGGTGGGAGGAGAAAAGAGTCAAAAGGGACCACTAATGTTTAGCCAGGCTATGCCCTGTTTAGTCTACACTCACCATGTTACAATTTTAATGTGGCCTGAAATAAACCCTGTCTCCGAATGGCAGAATGTAGACAGTAAATTCAAAGGGAAAAAAACCACTCATTGAAAATCTACCATTTAAAACATGGTTAATCTTTGACTTCAACCAGAGCAAAATAAACCCCTTTTCCTTTACAGAAGTCAACATTACTCATGCAAAACTCACTAGTGCCCCACTGAAAATTCCACATGGAAAGCAGGCACCGCATATTCACAACAGACAACCAGGAATGCCTGCTGGGCTTGTGAAAACAAGTGTGCTTCTGGCTCTGCAGCAAGGGTTTTCCCCTCTTACTGAAGCCCTGCCCTCTTTAATGTGTGCTGGAAAGCAGATGGTTTGGAAAATTTTGTCCTGCATACCACTGAAAACATCACTCCGTATTCAGGATGTGACTATTTATAATGCTGAGAAAAAAACATACCTTGGTGAGCTTTCTTTCTTCACTATATTGAGATGGAAGAGGGAAGGGGCCAGGCAAACAGCAATGTTCATGGGAGTCATCTGATTTTCCTCCACGGAGGTGACGTCGCTGAGGAAGCAGAGCAGAGTCTGCAGAACCTCCCTGTTCTCATCAGCCATGAGCATGATGGCTGCCTGCACAGCCTGCAGACGCTGCTCCTTGGGGACATCTGGGGAGGAGCAAGTGATGGTCAGGGGTCAGTTGTAAGGTCAGATAAGGAGCCAGAAAGTTAAAGTTACCACAGACATTGACAGTCCCCTCCAGTGCCCAAAAACGGCGCAGATGCGGTGCTTAGGGATGTGTTTCAGTGGTGGACCTGGCAGAGTTAGGTTAATGCTTGACTCAGAGAGGTCTTTCCCGACCTTAGCCATGGCTTTGTGAAGAGGCAGATAGCAGGAGACCAAGGGGAAAAGATCAGCTGGCTTCTAGAGAGCTGGGTTTTGCTCCTCCAAAAAGCACAGCTTCTCTTGCCAGTGTTTGGCATTTCTCTCTTTGTTTGAAGAGCTGCTTCCAAGACAGACACTGGACTTCATTTGAAGTTTATGAAGGGAGAGTAGTAGTCAGCACTTGTAGCTTTAAATGGTATTTTTCAGGTTTTCTTTGTCCCCTGGCAAGACAGAGGTTTAAAAGTCTTAGGGATGCTTCGGGAACACTAACATTTGTGTCCTAAACCGTAGAAGAGTTTAATGGAAGAAGTAGTGGATATGCTTAAATAGCACCTCAGACAGATTCATTTCTAAAACTACCCTAAGTTCTCTCAGTTTGGACTTCAAGTCCTCCTCTGGGTACTACATAGTCTCGATAATTGAATGGAAGAAGAACAAAAGCAGATTTACAGTAGAGGGAACAGCCAGCTCTTAAGATTTAGCCTTGTACAAGCACTTTATTTTAAAAGCTTTCAGATGTGAATGACACAATGAACACAGCTAAATACTTCTAAAGTTTCTGAAAGCAGCAGGGCCAAGTTTTTCTGAGAAGTCAGAGGAGAATTTGCTAAATCCATGCAAGGTGTCTTTTCTTCCCACAACACCTCCTGGTAATCCCTCCCTCCCTCCCCTTTATTGTTGCTCACATGGGTCTGGTGCGTGAAGCAGAAGATCAGCCAGTGCTTCAAGTCACAGGTAAATATTAAACAACTGGGAGTTTTAGGAAAATAGAGAAATTTTCATCAATGCTCTGGCATATAGACTACTACACTAATAATCTCATTCCAAATCCTATGTGTTACTGCAATTCAAGTCATTCTGGATATATGAAAAAGGTCTTGGATATATGAAAAATATCTTTAGTGAGTCCCAGAAAATCAGAAATACCCTGCCAATACACTAGGAGAGGAAAAATCCTTCCTAACTTCACTTTAACAATGTTCTGTTAAACAGAACAAAGGCAAGAAAAAATCTCAGCTAGAGATTAGTTTAATTGCGGATATTATGAAATACAATTGGTATCCCAGAAATTTTTAACATTTTTCTTTCTGTGAAAGGAGTTTTGTCAGTACTTTCTGAAACAGAAAACTATATTTGTTGATGATTACATAAAAAACCCTCCTAATACTCTTTCTTAATCCAAACAATATTTTATGGTCTCTACAGAGCCCATCTTTTCTTGTTCCTACCTTGGTTTAAAGAGGCTCATCCTCAAGTCTTTCTGAAATCCTTTAACTCCTGGTGCATTTTGAGAACATCTTTCCTAGCTAATTTTTTCCCCTTCTGACCAGTGTAAAGAGATGTTCTTCAGACTTCCCACTGCAGCACCACGCAGACATTACAGAGTCAGCCCATGCCTCTTTTTACAAATATTTGTTGGCCAGTATCAATGTATTCACTTTCAGCCTCATGTCCGGGAAAAGGGGAGCCCTTCTGGCTACAGACCTGCTTATACTGATGCAGCTGGGATCTGCTGTGTCTCTCTTCCTTTAGCAAGGGGGTAGTTTACTTGCAGTCTCCTCTGTGCAAAGGTGAGACATCCCCAGTTTTCATCAAGCAATAGTTTAAAGGTGATTTGTTTCCAAGGACATGCAGAACATGGATAATCTTCTCCTTGGCCTCCTCCCCATGGAAATGATTGTGACTGCCATTTTATTAGTGGCCAGAATTCCTGTTGCTTTTCTGGGCAAGCTTATTAATGTGTGTGCAGGCAGACAACTTGTGAGCAGGAAAGAAGGGGAAATGATGGTCCAGGGCTAGGCACCAATTCTTGTAGTTAACTTACGTCCCAAGACATTGCATACAGCCAAACCCACTAAATTTATCTGCAGTGCTGTCTCTCACGTGCAGAATCCCAGCGTTCTCTACAGACACGGTGATGGTAAATTCATTAGTGACTGTGTGCCACAGACAGATTTTTACAGTAAAGGGAAGTGACGGAAGTATCTGAGATTCTTAAGCACTGGGATTATGCAGTGTTTTAAAATGGCTTTCTATTGTTTTGGCAGCTGAAACGTCTGCAAGTGGAAAGACTAGACACACTTCTCTTTAGTGCTTCCAATTATTTGGCTTAGGCTGGCTGCATCTGCCAGAGTGCTGGCTGACTTGTCTTCATAATGGACATCGTCAGGAAAAAATCTCTAATTCCTCTGGCTGTTCTGTGCTTTCCTCACTGTTTATTTCTCCCTCAGTCTGGAGAAGAGATACACAGTCATTTCCTGACTCACAGGGACTTTCATTATTCTGATGTATCTGAGTCTCAGATTTTTCGGGAGATTGCTTATGCTGGAAAGAAAAGAAGAAATCCCCTGGTTTCTTTCTTTCTCTATGAATTCTTTATATAGAGCTTATGATCTACATGAAGGCAGCTTGGTTTTTTTCCTGTACATTTTATTGACTATAATGAAAAAACAAATAATCAAAAGTCATAGCAAGGAAGGGGACTACAGAGAAATATTCTCATGGTCAAGTACCACTTCTCCATGCCCAGAAGACTCACTTATGTTGAGATATAAGTGCATGAAATGGGCCCACAGTTTAAAGAAATCTGACAAAAATATGAGTCTTCATGCTTTTTATGACCAGCAGCCTGTTCTTCTGTCTTCTTTCTGATTGTATGTAGGTTGGTATGAACATTATCTTTCCATTAAATTTGACACTGAAACATTTAGGTGGTTCTAAAGACCTCTTAGTGAAAGATTTTGAGGGCAGAGGGTTTTTTTAATATCTCAAAAGCCAGCAGAAAGAAATCTATGCAGTGTTAACATGCCAAAAATATTTACAGTATATTACTATATAATATGTAACAATTTCTAATCGTTCATAATGATAGAAATATATAGAAATATCAACTTACATTGATAGATGTGCAGAAAAGTCTCTCCTAGTTTACTTGTGAGGAGAGGTTCTGGCAGGTCCCTGAAGAATTGCTTGACCATGTCAGCCACATCATATGCTGACTGGTCTTCATAGCTGACGTTTTCTGGGGAGCTCTCGTTCATCTGACGCAGGGCCTGGATTCGGGATTTCACTCCAGATTTCCGAAACAGACCCACCTAAAAACGTAAAAGGGAAAACGGCACTTGAAGAATGTATATATGCCATATACATGTATACACGGGGACTTTGACCACGACCAAAGCTTGGGTTACTTATTCCACTCTAGGCAAGACAGAGGAAAATGTTCAAATGCAATTGATGGTCCCACAAGTCTTGCAGGCAAGCACGGGCTCCCACAGCAGGATTGCAGGGGTTAATAATGCTGCTGCTCTCTGTCCCACCCTAGAGAGAGGGTTCAGAGTGCCTTGTGGTTTCTCTGCTGCCTGAGAAGTTTAAGCAAGATGCTCTGCTGATATAAATCAGCCTGGCTTGCTTGGCTTGGGTGACTGTTGATTTACTCCAGCTGAGAACCTGGCCCCACATGTTTATTTGGGTATATATTTGAAGACTAACAAGAAAATATTATGCTTAGCTAAGTAATAAATGCTGTGGCAAAAGATTAGTACCTCCTGGCAGAGCTTTAAAATAAGACAAAATCTATTTTTTCCCTTTCATGCTCTCTGCTTCCAAGAGTTCTCCCAAATCCCACTGAAAAGTCCAGCTCGAAAGTGGGGGCCACAGAGGGATTACTTGTGCAGTGTCACTAAGATACATTTTTATCCTGTTTGCTTTCTATTTTGAAAGGAAGTGGTAATTCTTCAAATGATGCCTTGGAGGCAGGGCTGCCCTTTCTTGTCCTTCTCTGCCTGAGGAATTTCCCCCGGGGTGAATTCCTGGGCCTCAACCACATTATTTATTCCCAAATGAGTTTACAGTGTTTCATTTGGGAAGTGTTAACACTGTTTCTCTTCAGTTCTGCCGGGAAAAAGGCGAAACAGAGAGAGGCCTATGGAAAAGGCACATTTCCAGTTGGGAATTATATACCCTTGTTCCTCTGTAACTGCTATCTCACTGGTGATCCATGGTGATTCCTGCCATCAACAAACAGTAAAGGCAAGGGAATAATTCCTTCTGGCCTTCTCTCCCTTACTTCTGAGTAAGAAGCAGCACAGAGTTCACAGAGGACCCTCCTCTGTCTAGAACACCTCCCATGCTCACTTGGAGGGTATTTAGGACTTTGGTTAACTCCCACATTAATGACACTAATTACATAGATCACAGCTCTGTGAGGGAGTATATTTATTTAATTACTTATATGGAGATGAATTGCTGCACCAGACTGGCTGTGAGGCAGCTCTTCAGTGTCTTCTTATGGATGAATTTAGTGTCATTTGAGAACTAAATTTATGTCTGGGAAGTAGAGAACCAGAGTGTGCCCTCTGTTCTGTACTTATGATCCCAAGTGAAGCTCTGCTCTTCTTCCTGACAAGAGCATACAAGAAAGAGCATCCAGCTCTTTTTACTTGGTTTTCCCTTTCACTTCTTCTTTTTAAATGCCTTTTCCTCTTAGAAATGTGTGCTGAAGACGAAGAAGACAGACTTGGTAATTCTGTCCAAAAAATAAAGTTTTGGCCTGCAGTAGATAAATGTCAGAGCAGAGGCTCAGTTCTCTCCTTTTGATGGAAAGTGTCCCTGCTGGTATAAACAGCCATTAAAAACTTCCAGCTAAGTCTGATTTGAGAAGTCAGATGTCAAATCTCACCCATGCAATCTCCTGCTGCACATCATTCTACTACTCTTGATCTCTGTTTAAAGACGTTTATCCAAACTCCTATTTCCTGTTTTTTTATTAATGGAAAAAAAAATTAATCAAAAGAGATCTTCACTCAATAGAAAAAGATGTTTTAGGCTCTGTTATGCATTATTACAGACTTGTTCTGTAAGTAAAATGGACTAAAAATCCAGAGGTTAGTCTGTCCCAATCTCTTTACTGTCCTCATGCTGTGTGGATCATGTTCCCTACAAGCAGACATATGATGCATGACAGGAAAAAGAGATTCAGTTGGAAAAGGCAAAGTAGTTTCTCTTTCACAAATCAAACTGAATTACATATCCTACAAATAACTGTGGGGCTCCTCATGCCAGTTTAGAGATTTCAGTGCCAAGAGCCAGACCTCGCAATGGTTTAGAGCAACCTCAGCTTTACCGAGTGTGTGCAGCAGAAGCTCTGACACCTGTTCTGAACTCTAGCCCACCTTCTGCAGTGCACAGGAGACACATAAGCAAGATGCTGGGGGAGATTGGAGGCTGCCAGGTCTCTGTCCATGCATTAGGAGGCTTTGAATTAAATGGGAACAAAGGGAGTAACTGTAAAGCAGAGAAGCTGAACTACCTGGAGCGTTTTTTTTCATTCCAAGAAGAAACCAAAGTTGAATTGAAATGGCCTGCCACAAATGCTTCCCAGCCCGTAAACACAAATGGAGCAGATAGTTGTCTGAGACTTCCAACACCTTTTAACTGCCTCAAATCTCTCAAGAGCTTTTTCTTTCTCTTTTATACTCACTTTTACATTCTCCCCAATTAATCCTCTCTCTTCTCTTTCTTCCTCTTGCTCTGCTTCTTAGCTGACAAGCCCATCCCTGTCCTTACATCTCCTGTTCCTCTTCTTTGGGCGTCTCCTCCTCCAATCTCATCACTAATTCCAGGCTTGCTGCATCACTTTTCTTCCTACACTGGCTTTCCCAGCTCAGTACACAAACCCAGATGAGCACCGTGGCAACCAGGCATGTTAGCTCCTGAATATATCACTTCTACTTGTCTCTATGCATTTTTCCCTTTCATCCTCTCTTAATACATTTCTGACAAGCTGTTCATCCCACTCCTCAGCTTCCACACTACATATGGCTGGCAGAACTCATCTCACCTCACTTCTGACACTGTGGAGTTAGATGTCAAGGTCTGACCACGACAGGATGCCTTTACAAAGAGAACTGATAGGAACGACCTGTGTCTTTCCCACTGTCTGCAAAGGCAAATGGTTGTGATTCACTGGAACACCTTTAATTTTCAGATTTCAGTTTTGGGGAAGGTCACTGTCAGCCAACAAAAATCCTGAACAGCAACCAGAATGGTGATTAGAAAATTTGAAGATTCAGAACAGACTAATTCCACCCTTTTCATGTGCTCAGAGCTAGGAAAGCAGCTAAGTCTGCAGAGCAAAGTGCTCGTTGCTCCTTTCAAACTTACAACTATCTAAAGGCAGATATGAAAGAGGTCATATGACATGAGGTCAATAACAGTAGAGGGCTGAACATAAACAGCCAGGGGGTTTCTCCCAGTCCTATGTTCATAAAAATACACATCCTCATCCTTAGGGGAAGAACAGTAAAAATACGATTAGTATGTCCCTCTGTAGCTAAAGAGAATAAAAAAAAGTGAAATACTTTGAGCATGAGGGTGTCCCAGCTGGCTTGTTGTAGCTAAGAACACTATAAAAGGGCAATGTACCGTAATGGCTTTGGCATTGAACCCCAGCTGACCTAACTATCTGGATATATCTGACTGTGTCAACAGAATACTTGGAATATTTTGCTGAGTTTGCTCTCTATTCTTGGACTTTTCTGTCTTTGCTAAGTAAATAAAACCTTTTGCACCATATCTTGTGAAATGGTGAATGCAGTTAACCCTCAATGGCAACAGTAAGCATAAGCAGTACAGATACATGTAGAAGCGGGGAGTCCTGATCTCTTCCCAGGTTTCATTCAATATACATGAAGATCTCAAAACGTTCTTTGAAGTAGACTGTGGTATACAAATCATCAGGACTGTTACAGCTACAAAAATTCAACAGATTAGCTGGATACAAATCTCAAAATGGAAAGCTTTTAGTATTGGCACCAACTATCAAATCACCAGAGGAGATTGAGGCCCAACATGAGAGATAATAATCTCCGAATAATCCTGGCACTTAGAACCAAAATGCTCACTGTTGCTTGCTTAAAGTGGCTTTTCAGAATAAAACCAACAAGTCCATGGAGTAAAGCTCCTACCTGGTCTAGACAGTTGCTCCGTAGGTAGCGCAGGGCTTGTTGTATGCTCTGGGGAAGAGGCTGCCCTGTTCTCTGGACATGGACTATCAGGGGCACACCAAAGACATTCTTGTCCTTGTAGTCAGGGACTTTCATCCTCTTCATGAACTTTGGCACAGACCTGAAAATTAACATGAACAGGCTGCATGAAAAAATCAGGGTGTTTACACCCTTTCTGAGTATCACTACTGACATAAATTGGTAACCAGGGCCTTTTTAATAAAGACGGTGAAATAATGTTTAATGCACAATACGCAGACACTTTACAATTTGCATAACTGATCAATTTCTCAATGTCTGTAAGTGGATGGCCTCTAGGCATAACATCAATTCTAAATAAAATCTTTTACTACACAGGTGTCATCCAGCTGAAGCCAACAAGGTTTAAAGCATCTTTTAGGGACTCACAGGAATGGCAGAGCAAACCAGAGTGGAGAAGATACCTGGGGGAAAAGGAGGTTCAGTCCTCTAACATGCTGAATGATCTTTGTACAAGCAGTTACATTATTTAGTATTTCTATTGACTAAAACTTTACAATAAGAAATGATGGTGGGAAATCCCTATGTGTCAGATTCCTCCCTTGTTTTATATGATTTATTCTAGTTGAGTAACTTAAGCTGGTGAGCTTGCTTTCTTCAAAAAATTGTGATGAAAACAAGAACCAGCTGGATTCCCTTTTTGGGAGTCATGACTGCCATGGAATTAAAATAAAAAGGAAGAATATGACCTGAATGTGACTAAGAGTTTTGTCATCTGTGTGGGAAGAAGCAAAAACTCATTTTAAATTACCTACTGAAGAAGTACAGTGTGTAACTCTACAGCTATTCAGAGTCCCTTTCTTAAAAATCCTTAGAGACTGATTATAAAAACTGAAGAAATATCTCTTAGGATGAAAACCCTGTACAAACAGCAGGACCTAGAATTTGCTGTATTCTGCTTATTTGAAGGTGGGTAAGGTGAGATTAATTTCAGTGCAATGTCAGCTAGCCACAGGGAGTACACCAAAGGAGAGCAGTGAAATGGAGATTAATCTTACTGAATTTTAGTTCTCTTCTTAGAAAGAGCCAGCAGTCTGGACCACCTCTATACCCACTGTAGAGAATGACAGCTCTGGAGGGTGACCCAAACCCTCAGGCTTGGATGTAATGGGCTGCTTTGGGGTTGCCTGTCTTTTTCCTCTGACCACAGACAGCCAACCTGACTTTGCCAGATTAAATTTATAACAGATTCCTCTTTTAACTTTTCCTAATGACTGATGTCAGTGAGGTGAATCTATTGTATCTATTTTTCCATTTCTAAAGGAAAACTTGTCTTACATAGCTTACAGATTAATATAGTGGGATTTTGGGGAGGTGCTTTGAGCATGAAAACCACAATACAAATATCAAGTCATACTGTATCTGGACTGGGTGCTTCAGTGCATTAGGGAAAGTTTCTGTCATTCTTTTGATTATTTCTCAAATACTTTTAAACTCTTATCCATGCCCATTTCCATTTCTGGTGTACTTCAATCTGTGGGGCCCACCAGGGTTTGTGTACCATGGAACATGCAGGTTTCTGTAGCCAGTTGCTACAGAAGGAGCCGCATTGTGAGCATTCACATCCATGTGCACTTCCCTCCACTCCTGAGTGACCAGGTAGCTGTCAGAGCTGCCAGGCTGCAGGATCCCTCTAACACAGGTCCAGGCCTAGGCTAAACCTGCATCTTTGATTTCTAGAGAAAAGTCTCATAACTATTCTAACCCTTCTTTTAAAGCACAAACAAACAATAACAAACACACAAAGCAGTAGTTGTTTCTTTTTGAATCACCAAATAAATTCTGGGTAGAACTTACTGTAAACTTTTCCTACTTTTTAGTCACTCCTGCTTATTTTTCTAAAACTGTAGCATTGTTCGAAAGGCCAGAGTTGTCTTTCTGTTAGAGCACAGGACTGAAGTCAGATTTTCAGGATCTATTTCTGACTTTGCCAATGAGCCACTAGGCAGCAACAGATTAAAAGGGACAGTTTCAAATCCTACACTTGAAGTCAATGTTTCCTTCAAATGGAATTTACTTATTAATAGAGTAATGGAATTAGGAGAAACTATTTTCTTATAAAAAGTCTCCTTCCAGTTACCAGTAGTACTCACCAGGTCCAGCCATGTTTGTTTGACATGGAGTACTTTTCCATGATGGCAGTGAGACGAAGCAGAGAGAATTTTTGCAGTAGATTCAGCTGGGCTGCTGACTGGTTGCTGATGTGAAGCGATGCAATGGAGCGGCTCAGGCGATGAGAGATTTGGAAACTATGCCATCGTAATTGCCTTTAGCAAAAGAAAGGATAGAAAAATCAGAGAACTGCTATTGTTGGGCAGAAAAGATAGTGTGCTGTGAGATAGGGCTGGGCAATATATAAAACACACACAAACACACACATATGTGATTGCTGGTGGTGTGTCAACTGAAAGAAAATATACCTTGGAGATAAAGAAAACAATCTAGTCAATCTCTTTAATTTCTGAAATGCCCAAGTTTTGTCTTTTTAACATTAGATTCACAACTGGGTATGAGTCCTGTCCATATACTTGGGGAAGCAATGCTGCCTGCTATGGTCTTTAGCCCACACACTTCCAACAGGATGTGGGAGATACAAATGTTCTTTGCCTGACTCAGAACTGGTATTTGATGCCTAGTTCCTCACCTCCCAGGGGACTGACCTGACCACTGAGGTATTTGGAGATGAGGTTCTCCAAATATCTCTGCTATTAAATGCTGAAGGATTTTTTTGAAAAAGGATTAAACCCTGTGTCTCCTTAGCTAGAGCTGTAACCATCAAGCTATTGAACCACTCACATCTTTTTTTACTCCAATGTACTTTCTCTATATACTGGATTAATAAGAAAAGAAATCCCCTAGTTTTATTTTCTTGTTTCACTAAATATAAACTCTGGCTCAAATCCTAAACTCTTTGGCACTGCTCCTTTACACAATAGTTTCCTCCAGTTCACTTTCACTTTTGTGGTGGTGGTGGTGAGCAAGCACAGGCAGCAGCAAACCATGGCATGGCAGAGTCCTCCGTGAGGGTGTGACAAGACTGGCATCAGATTGGAAAATACCAGTATTATCAGGAATACCTGTATCAGAAAATACTAGGTATATTTTCCCTGCTTTTGCACGTACAAAGCCACACTACATACAACAGTTTAGACCCACAAAAGCTTTTGCCCAGGACCATTGGTACTTGGCTCAACAGGAGCTCATCTCTCTGACTTAAAACAGGTCTGTAAACTATTAACAAAATTCACTTTTATACTTTATTAAGAAGTCAATTGTTCACCATCATTTCATCCCACCCATGTAAGGGGCTGGGCCAGAGTAGGAAAGCTCTCTTTGAGCACAAAGGGGCACATTTTTAAAGCAGATCAGTACACTTAAAAAGTGCATAAAGCTACAGATTCATAAAGACCCGGGTGCATAACTTAGAAGACAAATTAAAAGTACATCCTACAACATACACAGGGTCCTACCATGTATTCAATGGATCAAGGGATAAAAAATGCCTTAGTTTGCTCTATTAAACCAACTCTGCACTGATTCCATGTAAGAATCTCCACAGCAGGATGTCGCTTCCCTCAAAGTCCCACCTTTCCCTGGGAAGTCTCCATCTCTGTACAGGATGAACACTACTGTAATGGTACCCTGTGCCTTCTGACTCCCAGGCTGAGAACCCATGCTTCATTATATTGTGTTTCACAGTTGGTGGATTTGTATACAAAATTTTGCCACTTACCTGCTTGGCCTTGTGAGTGATGCTCCCACCCCAGAGTCTCTCCTGTCCCTAACACCGGTGGCTTCAGATTCATTCAGGGATGTTCCATCTCTGTCCATATCACTCGGGGTGGTCCGGCCATCAGACACAGAGTTTCCTTCAAAATCCAGAGTGATCTGTGTAGGCGACTGGAAAGGCAACGATGGGGATTCCCTGGCTGACACATCCCCAACCGGCAGACCTGGCAACACCTTCTTGGACCAGCCATCTACCACCTCCTGCAGTCCATTGACATGTTGCAAAATGTCATCTAACTGAGGAAAAAGGACATCTTTCTCTATGTCCAGGAGGTCCCCAGTACTAGCATACAAGTGGGAACCTGGCACATTGTCATAAATACTAATTCTGCTCTCTTTAGGACAGCAAGCCATCAGTCCAGATTCCTTTGGAGTAGAGCAGTTCTGCTTTCCCAAAGAGATGCTGCCTGTCCTCCAGTTCACACTGTTACTGTTGTCTGTAGGTGAGAGGCTTTCGATGGAAAGTGCCTTTGGGAAGGTCCCTGGTTTGTGATCCTTGGGAATGTGCACAACCAAGTTCTCTTGGGAATGAAATTCATTTTTGCGGTTTTGGTCCATCACCTGCCGTAAGGCTGTTCCTGCCAGAACATCCAGGTCCTCCAGGTACATCCCACCTCTCTTGTTTGCTTCATGGCATTTGCGTTCCTTCAAACACGGCGTGCTCACCCCACTGCTGCTGTTTTCGGACTGACTGCTGTCACTGCTGGATTTGGCAGAAAATGGAAGCTCTTTTTTGACTGAATCTTGCCCCAAATTTTGGAGATCACCATTGACTATCTGTACACAGTGCATGTCTTTCAAGGATTTTGGCTCAAACTGGAGAACCGGTCCACTGATCTCTAAAGGACCTGTTCTTCCCGAGCCTTTCAGTTTTCCATGCACAGCCTTTGCTTTTAGTGTCTCCATGCGTTTTAGAAAGGTTTTTGCTCTGGCTCGTGTTGGATTGTCATTCTTCAGGCCGTCCTTGGGGGACAGGGCAGTGTTTATTGCAGTGGAGTCCTGCAGCAGGGTGCTTTCCACATCATGATGGGCAGAGCAGTCGCAGGTGTCCCTGGCAGCGCCGGTGGTGCCAGATTGACTCCTGTTGTCACTGCCCCCACTGCTCTCGCTGTGAATTGATGAGACCTCAGGCTCGCTCAGATCTGTAAGGACGCTCTCACTGCTCGTCGTGTTTTTCATTTTAATGTCCCCAGAAGAGCCATGTCTGTCAGATCGGTGAAGCAAAGCGTCAATGTCGTCCACCCGAGACCATCGTCTGCTGGTTCTTTGGAAAGTCCATTTATTACTGATAGCACAGAGGTCTTCTTCATCTGAATCTTCACTCTGGAAAAAAAGCAAGTGGCACATGTTAAAATTGTGTGCTTTAACTTGATATTTGAATTAACATGATGGGGCTGCTCCAGGTCAGCAACAGGCAACAAAGCCTCTCTGAAGCAAGTTCATGGAAGACTGGTCACCAGTCCTTTCATAACACCCTCTTTCATTTAATTGTAAAGACTGCAAACATCTTAACAGCCTTAAGAAAGGAATATAAGCCTGCTCCATGTCAGGAGTCCCACTGATACATCTTGGCTTCCACCGACTGCCTGTGCAGTGTAGGGCTGATTCCCACAGTGAATGTTTACGAAAAAAAATGTTTTGAAAGGCCAAAATAAAACAATCCTGATTTGTAGGGATGGTGTTAAGATACACATGATAAAGACAGGGAAGTAGCTGGGTACTACAGCAATGTGAGCTATTTAAAAATCCAAGACAGCAAATATCTGGTGTGCACACAGTTTTGCAGTGAAAACTAAATAAATATCTATAAACTTCACAGGCCAGATATATCTGAAAAGATTTATGTTTCAGGAACATAACTACAGATAAATAACCATGATGCTTAAAAGAACAATAAAAAATAGTATTTGGCAGTATTGCTTAGGGTGTATCGGAGTAAAGGCAAAGGAAAGCAGAGAAGGCAGCCATGGGGGTGTGGGCAGGAGGAGCAGCCAGGCTCAGGCTGGGGTGGGGCAGCATCTGCAGCTGAGGTGAGCTTTCCTACAGTGGCAACCACTGTCTTCTCTGCCATCATCATCAGAGGTACCCCAGACTTGATGACCTGCAGCCTGCTCCACTGTCTCGGGCTTCCTCCAAGCTCTCCTGAGGCAGCAGCAGCCCCACAGCCCTTCCTGGTCTCATCCCTCAGCCTGAGACATGCACAGCTGTGCTTATGTTTAGGCAGCTCCAGGAGTTACTCTGCAATGCAGAGAACGTGTGCCTTGGAAAAAAAATTAGATAAAAAACTTCACCCTATGACATTTTTCTCATCTCTTTGCTCAAACAAAATAGATACATCTTCAGCATGAAGCCCACAGTTGCTAATGAGTACCCTTTCCCTGACGTTGAACTGGACTTATACTGCATTATTCTTGTGCATTTGTTTTAAAGCAGAACAAACGAACTTCACCTACATGACATCCAAACAGCTCTTCACATTCTTGGAAGCAGTATGAAGGCAGTAAAATATGACAGGCTGTCAGACTAAAATGAGGTGCTAAACCAGAAAGACTATTTTGGGACTGGAAAAATTCTCATTTTAAAAGTCTATTATTAGAAGTATTTTTATATGAAGTTTCGATGGTAAAGTTATCTCCAGTCTCTGACTAGATCTTTGCTGGCCTGTCTAATTGAAAAATGTAAACCAAATTTTACAAGAGCGCCCAAAACCTTAAAAAATGTGAAACCTCAAAAGCTGGAGATTGGGATCAGCAGCGTGCCAGGTCTCACTGATGCCATAAACTTTTGCCAGTTTATCACTTCAAGTCAGCCAGATGTTTTAGATCATGTCCAAACCATAGAATAAAATATAGCTGTGAAATTTTGGGTTTAGGCAGTCCTCTTTCTTTTGTTAATCTTGAGGTGTGCAGTGCTCCTGTGTGTTTACAGGAATGAATGGAGATCCTCATTCTGTGGCTTGTTAGAGAGAAGAATTGAGCACCTAGTGAAGTATGAGGGAACAGGCTAGAAAAGGCTAATACTGCTTTGGCCATTTTGTCTGCTGGGAAGAAATGGCACATCAGACAGCTCTACCTTTGTTTTAACTCCACAGCTTGCTGCACAGCCTCAGGAACTTAAAAACCCATTTATTGTGGTCTTAGTAGTGCCACAAAATGGATATTTTAAAAACCACAAGGGTACGTACTTTTAAATATTTAGCAGTGGTAATTATATCTACAAAGCATACCACTGCTGAAGCGTTGGTGGCACCAGCCAATAGGATAAACATATTTTTAAGATTTGTTCTACATTGCAATATGCCAAAGGGACCTTAAAGAAGATTCTTGGCTGACACAAATCCCTGTAGCTGCACTGACATTACTATATGAGCTGACAGGATTTAGCCTGTATTTTCTACAAGCTGGAATCGATTAAAGTAGCCAAAGTGGTGGAGACATTACAAAAAACATCAGGAGAACACAGAACAGAAGACAGAAAAAAATTCAGTAGTAAATATACTTTAAATCAAAAGTTTGTCAGTTTTTTTTGTTTTGTTTTTGTTTTGCTTGTTTGTTTGAGGGTAAAGCAGAGATGAACAGAAATGGATACTGGTAACAAACAAGTTTTGCCTCTAACCACAGCAAAGACAGGATTACATTCTGCCCAAGAGTCACTTAGAAAATACAGAGGCTTTTCAGTGTCAAAATTTGCAGCTCAATTAAATAAAGGCTTAGTTTTGGGTTCCTTTTAATTGATAAAGAAACATGTTTGTGTTTCATCAGAAGAAAAATCAAGCAAATATGAAATGAAATATCTGGATGCTGAAATACTACCATGGTGACTCACTACAAATTCAGCTGCACTGTGAGTCCTATGACATACTGTGCTTTTCTTTTGATGAAATCAGTAGAAATTCTGGAAGCCATGAACATCCTGAATGACCCACTGTTCTTGTCAGATATCTGAGTGTCCTGACAAACAAAACTGCCCCCCAAAAAGAGGTTGAGAGCACTTAGCCCACCCACATGTCACCAGTTAGGGGGACAGCGGATCAAGAGAAGGTCTGAAAGCAATGATTCATCTGACACAGGCAGAGCAGACATTTTGGAGCAGTGACTGTATATTTCTACTGACCTGGGGTGAAATCAAGTGCACAGCTTTGGAGCATATTCAAAAGTCCAGTTAATACCATTATGTTTGGAAAGATGAGAAGGGGCAAGTTTCTTGAGAAGTGACTGGTAACATTTGCCAAAGAGAAAGAGGTTTTGATTCACAGATTTGTCACAGCTGATTTAAAATAGTACAGCTTTTTGACTAAGAGTGTACTTGCCTGAAATACAGAGGGATGCTAACAAAAGGCAAATAGTGGATTTATTTGCAGTGGAATTCTGCCACATTTTTCCAGCTGGGGGCAGGAATTCTCATAAATCGACAGCTGCAGAAGGCAGTTAATCCAAAGGCTAATCTCTGTCTGTCCAAATCGCTTACGGACATATTTGCAACACATACAGGAGGATTTCTGTTTGCATCTTGACAAAGCCAAGGGAAGACAGCAGCCCACAGTGGGGATGGTCTGAGTGGGACAGTGGGCAGTGGGGAACGCTCATGCTGTGCTGGCTTTCACAGGAACCTTGCCTGGTAGCTTGCTTGGCCATATTTTGTTAAATCACTCAAGCAGCTGAGCTAGTCCTGTGCATACCTGTTATATTGAAGCTCCAAAGCGGGCTGATTTTGCATTTCATTGTCCAGATCACCATAGAGACTATTAGGAAAGGCAGTATCTACAGCAAAAGATTTATTTAGTTCGGTGATCAATCTCAGACCCAGTTTCTGGCTTTTACACTTGCATTTACACTTCCTGCTGTCAGCAGGCTCTCCTTCCTTTTCTTCTCTCACCCATATTCTCTTCTACTTTCAGTTGCTCTGTGTCTGTGGACTAAAATCTCCTCTGACACCTCTTTGTCTACGTTTTTCTGTGCTCAGCTTCTCTGTGGCCTTGTGCAGGTATGGACTCAACTAGCTTCTGTCCCCTTGAAAAAGTACCAAGTAGGACCATGTCTCTTCTACCACAAATAAATGGTCATCAGCAAGGAGAGCAGCTGAGGACTTCATTCAGAACAGGGAAGAGTGGCAGCAAAAATTAATGAAAAACAAACATAACAAAAAAAAATCTCCTCCCTTTTTAACACAATATAAAACCCAAGGCAAGAAAAACCCCTGATGCAGTGAAGTCCCTGCAGCTGCAGGGAATGGAAAAATAGAAACTAAAGAGGCTATACACAGAGGAACAAGCAGACATGTGCCAAAGCAGGATATCTGGACATTAAAACCATCCTCTGTTCATGTTCCCTCAGACACTGAACAGATTATGATGAAACTGAATTTGCAAAGACATCAAAAATGCAGCAGTTTTAAAAAAGCACTAGACAAACACTCTAGGAAGGAAAAGCAGAAAACCAAGATTTCTCAGAGCTGACAACTACCACTGTACAACACTCAAGGACTTTGGGGAATTTGTGACCAGAAAACCAAATGTTCAACAGTTAATGCTGGACTTGTTACAAAACTCTCAAAATCAATAGACTGTTTCTGCAGTCCTCACCAAAAGCCTTTATGCTCAGATAATTCCCGTGTTACACAGCAGCTTGTAAGGATGACAGAATATATTTTCATATTCTCAACTGGGAAGAAGTCAGTACAAGAAACAAAGAAAAGCTGTTATTTTCATCTGAGGAGCTTCCATTTTTTCTGAGCAGGATTTTCCACTGTGTACAGTCATATGGCATTGACAAACAAGCCAGTCTAATAAAGCTTTACTGTCTTTTCACCCACTAACTTTAATTGCATGCATGTAGAGTTTAAGTACTGTGTGAGCCTTTCTAACACACGTAGTATTTACTCACCATTTCTATTCTATTTATAATTTCAAGATTCAACAGTTCACTTTATCGTGCATCCAGATAATGCTGACATGCATGTTCAAAGTAAAATAAACCTAACTTACTTTTAAGAGCATTACTGAATCAAAGGTTAAATTGGGGTGGCCTTATCACAAAAGCTAGGGTATATTTAATGAAGTTCCCTTACCTTTTTTCTTTGGAAGTTCACATCGAGTTTCATTGAGGCGCACTTGTTCAGTGTGTTCAGTCGTCTACAGGGCAAAACAAATTCAAAAGATTAGCAGCCTCTGACTAAAGGGCACGATTTTTTGCAAGTTCAAAACATTTTCTCTTATCTTACTGTAGGGTGCCAACTGCATATAACAGCTTCAGAAAGGTTACTGGTCATCTATTCCAGCTATATGACCACTGCATGAAAAGGGACCCTTAGTTTCACTTTACTTGACAGCCAAGTTTGATAGATTGCTTTTTAATTCATAGACATTTCCGTACTTCGCATGGGAAAAAACTATAACTGAACACCTGTGATAGCTGGGGAAATGACAAGAAGATGAGTTGCCTTATACAGGACTGTAACATAATTGGTCTAAAATGGGGATTTCAAAGCACTGATGAAAGACCAAACAAAAAAACAGCTGTAGTTCCTCACTTCTGGCAGTTGGCACATCCTTAAAAAAGTTGACATTAAGAACTTCTAGCTGCTACTTAAAAGTTTCTCCAAAGCCAATAGTTTATTTTCTCCTATCTGTGGATTTATACACAGGTTAACACACCCAACATGTAACAAATCTTACATTTTAAAATAAGTATTTTTAGCTATTTTTTACCATATTCATTCTGATGTTACCAGAATCTCTGTAAGGCTTCTGCTCCTTAAATCCAAAGCTATCTGGTGATGACAGTGAGTAGAAATGACAATCCGTGTGTGTGTGTGTGTGTGTGTGTGTGTCCATATGCAAGGACAGCCAGAGGACAAGTAAACATGCTCTTTCAATAGAGAACCTACTGTGGTAATGATAATTGATTTGGTTTTATTTAAACTTAAAGATCCGATCCATGAAACTATCCAACTTCTAAAAGCAGAGGCTCAAAGTTTAATATGTCTCACTTGGAAAATTTTCCATATATAGGATTGAATTTCAAAATAAAGGGAGGCAGAGTGAGAAAGCCACATGTCCACAGCACTCCTCTGTTGGCTGCCTGCATCTCCTGTATCTTTATAGCAAGCCCTGTCTCTGTTGCTTTTGGGTTGCAGGGAGAGGCCTCCAATTTCCAGAACTTAACATTTGAGCATGTGATAAGCTACAAGGACACATGAAAAAAGTATCAGATCAATAATATAATCTCTCACATAGCATAAGAAGATTATGGCATTAACATATTCCTCCGCAGAACTTCTAAAATTAGAACACCTTTCAAATTGCCACCACTAACAAAGAACCGACTCACCAAATGTGGATCTTCCTTAAAAAAAAAATCCCTCTCAAAATATCACCTGCTTATTTGTAGATCAAATATTCCTCTCTAACTCAAACCAATAAATCCATTATGCTACATCAGAAAAGTCCTATGCTCATGGTATTAATTTGGGTATAATTTATGCACAAGCACACCCTGCATTCATGATAGCAATGTTGAAAAAAATGCCAGGGTTTGTGGCTGTTGCTATATCTGCAGCCTTCTGCCCACAAATCTTCTTCTGGGATTATATCTATTATTGCAAAACTCCTCTTTTGCCCAAACACTGAATTTCTCAACCCAAAGTGGCATTTTCTTGGGGCCCTGGGGCTGAATAATGTTCAGTGCTTCTTTTGAGCACAAAATGTTTAAACGTGTGTATCGATATCAATACCAAATATACAGAGGCACAGGCACATTTTCAAAGGACTCCAGCCCAGCTTTCTATCTCTGGGGACAGCTTCCCCTGAGTGGTGAATATTAGCTAATATTGGAGTCCCTGCACAGCTTTGTCAGCTGGCCTGTGCTGAAGGGAAAAGCCTGTAGCTACATTTCCACACTTGCTCCACCAAAACCAAAACTACTTTTTACTGGGTGCCAGGGAGTTCAACCCCAGGTTTTAAATTCACCCCTCTATGAAACATTGGTATATTTTTTGGGGCTCTTCCAGGGCCAATGGAAAGATTTGCTAGTGAAATTAGAGAACTAATGATCATATTTGTGAGTTTGTCTGGTACTACAGCTCAAATCAAAGTCAGTCTGTTTTAGCTTCTTTCGCCTTGTTGATGTGCCAGTGGTAGCAGAAAGTTTTTCTCATCAGTTTAAAGTTGTCAGACAACTGACAGCCAACTCCTCAGCAAGTCTTTTGAAAAGAAAAAAAACCCAGAAGTTTCTGGCTACAAAGGCTGTCACCAGCTGAAGTGAGAGGAGCACTGCACTTTTATGCCACTGCTTAAAAACATGGGAAAAGAATGCTTGTTTGTAATGGTAACAAAACACAAAGTCTGGATTTGAGAAAAGGCAGGGAAAAACACATTAAATAAACACAAGAGAGGAGGCTATATAAAACCCAAATAATCTAAGGATGCATTTGAAAGAGTATCTGGAAATTTCTGCATTGTTCAGGGAAAGAACGCAAAATATGTACTAGAGCAAGTGTTTCAGTGATGTTAATTTTATTTCTTCTCCAGAGCATCACAGGTGGTTTAACACTTTGAAATAATTCTTAAAAAGCCAGCAGAGATATCCAGGTACCCAAACAGATGTTTCTGGTGCTATATTAGATGCCCTGAAATATCAAGCCTGGCCTTCAGCTGCTGCAGATACCTTGGTCCAGACAACACATGACGTCTGGGCTATCTGAGGAGATTTGAGATGGCCATAGACACAAGTTCTTAGGACTCTGAATCCCAACCCCAGTGCTCTAATTCTTGACAGAAATTCTTCAGAAGCAGGAAATCTCCAGCTTTTGCATCCTTTACAGCACTGAGTAATGTTTACAAAAAAATACAAGCTTGTAGCTATGCAGGCTCAGGCCAGCTGGAAAACCTTGTGAGGTACCTGTTGTCCTGCTTTAAGAGCAATCCATGTAAGAAGGAGCAATCCAAGTAATAGGGAGACAGCTCTGAAGTGAGCTGGAGTTCCAGGAGAGCCCCTAGACCTGTTCTGCTGCTGCTGTCAAACAGGTGCTTTGGAATGCAGCCAGGGTCACAGGCCAGTCATGAAGGAGAGGCATCATGGGGAGGACAAGCATGGCCAGCACAGTGTCCCCTGCATCAGCAGATCTGCAAATGCCCTTTCTTATGGATTTTGACCGGGAAAACACACTATGTGGTTCTGCAAATGCCTCCCTGAAGGAACCACAACACTATTTCTTTGCTTTATTGTTATTCCTAGCCAAGTTTAGGTGCTGTGTACACATGTCAGTGCCTGGCTTCTTCTGGTGCTGTCAACTTTGGGAAGAGGACATCAAGCTCCTGATGCTGGGCTTTGCTGAGGTCTTAACACTGAATAAGAGTCCTCCCAGCACCATTAGGGCTGGTGTGCAAGGCTGGCACCGGCATGTCCCTGCTCCACCAGTTTTGTGCATGAAAAGAATATACTGTTTTACAGTCCTATCACCTTTTTATCACGGCTGTCACTGAGGGAGTTACCTCGTAGGCTCCATGCTCACATGAGATGAGTAATCTCTCCTGCAAGTCAGTGGGAGCCATTCTATTGCCTCCAGAGCAGGGATTTCTGTCCTGCATGTGGAGAGACAGGCTTATCCCCCAAAAGCACCTAGAGCAAGATAACTCAGCAGATGGTACTGACTGTACACCCATCATTTCAGAACTCCAGTGGGAGGATGTCCCATGCCATACAGCAATCTTCACTTTTTTTTACCAGCTGTCTAAGAGACAACAGCTATAGAAAAAAAGGCTGCTGACTGCCTGGCACAACTCAAATTTTGAGAGCCTGGTTTAGGGAACTAGGTATCAGACTGTTATATATTTGTTCTTCATGTTCTTAGTCACTGTATTTACGTGAATACAAAAAGTACAACGTGGCTTGGCTTCTCCTTCTCACCCTCTTATCACAGCAGCCACAAAAGTTCCCAGAGTGGAGTTGGTTGCTGCTATTTTGGAAGCGACACAGCTATAAAATTTTCATGCTCAATTATTGTTTTGGCAGGCTGACAGCATTTGCCTGCAGATTGCCTGGCAATTCTCTATTGTTCATTACTCAATAAAATCTGAGTGGAATCTCTTGATAGATACGCCTCTAACTCAAAGGCCTCAAATTTGGCTTTTACTCTGCCAAATTTTTGAATTATATTGTAAACAGCAGGAATGTTAGAACATCTCAGAAAGGTCACTGAAATCTTTTATAACAGGGAGTCCTAGACTTTCTGACTAAAATACTACCAGCTGCCTTAAAAGAAGATTCCTTCTCATTGGTGCCTCATGTTGTCTGGTATACTTCAATGCCATAAGAAAACTGATTATAAAATGAGATTGAGAGTCTCAACCCACAAGAGCAGAGAAATTCAGTGTTTATGCTATTACTATTGAGAGCTAAAACTGCTCAAACCGATTATCCATGCTGGCATTTCAGCTTTAAAATTATCTTCCAAAACAAAATGAGAAGCCCATTTTGTTCAGCGGGATGTGCTGAATGCACTATTAGTCAGCATGATGGCTTGGTCACACATAGCTTTAAGGGTAGTTTGAATATTTGAAGAATGGAAGTTTGACTGCCAACCTAGGAATGTGTGTACACAGAAATAATAACCAGCTTTTCTTAACTTTCTCTTTGCTCGAAGTGCAGGTCTCATGTGGTACATTGGCATACACCTTGCACTAACACCATCACAGAGCAATGGAAGGGCAGAGAACTGACAGTGGTCAGCTGAGCTGTGAGGATTTCCATTGCACTGGAAAACTTGGAAAATGCTGGTTTGATAGCTCATAGAGTAACAAAGCTGGCACTGGGAGCAGCAGCTGACACTGTTCACTGTTTCTGGTGACCTTGGCATTTGGTACAATGGCTTTTTATGGTTTGCTTTCAGCAAAAGGTTTGAAGCTTCTGAGTCACATTGAATTAAAGGTCTGCAATCTGAAAACATAATACTTGTATTTCTAATATTATGAGGAGCTATTCCTTTTTAAAACTCCACCCAAAAATTCAAGTAAACAGGTGTTGTCTTCTGAATAAAATAATTACAGAAAAATTGTTAGAATGTCATAAAAACCCATTTATCTTTAAGGTGTGGAAATATCTGTGTCTGTGCTTTTTTTCTATAGGTCTCATCATTGTCCCTTGATTTAGGCTAATGTAAAGCATCTTTTTCCCATGAGTACATCTATCCAGCGGCTAGTTAATTTTCCAAAACCTCATATATTAATAAAAGAGAAAAAAACCCCCAACCCAATCAAGTCTCTAGCTTCTCAGCTTGCAAAATAATCCTCATAAATATATCAACATAGTGTAACTGTAGGTGTATCTGTGAGTCTACAGAGGGGCTGGAGGAGCAAGAGTTGAGCTGTTCCCATTTTTAGCTGTGTAGGTGTTGGATGCATGGTGACCATGACTGTAGCAGCACCATTGCCAATTACTCCAGAGAAGAATGATTAGGGAGAGTCACAGAGCTATGAAATGACTGTATCTCACTGTTTTCTCTCACAAGAAAGGGGCAGGAACAGACATAATTCTTGAATTTTTTAATGGTCCTTCAACTTTGTGGTAAAGGGCAGAGGGGATGATATTTCAATCTCCTATCTCTATCACTTTCCAATTCCCAAACTGCAGCAAAGTATGTCTTCCATCATGTCAGACTGAAGCAGGGGGATGTACATATGTATGGGAGGAAGGTTTCTTAGGTGTCGGCATAGCAATCTCTCTCAGCAAGTAGCACAGAACAGCAGTGGATCAAGTCTGCAGTTAATTCTGTTCTCAGACATCTGTGAGAGAGAGAGATCTGGAGAATCCAAGTCTTTCTTACTGATTTATCTTCAGACACAAAGGCTATTACACAGAAAAAGAGAATATTCTGCTCCCCATAGCCAAAATAGACAGCATGAGAAGCAACAGGTCTTGCTTGCAGAAGGGGAGTTTTGGGAAAGCAATCTGACAGCCATGCCCAGAAACTACCTGGATCTGCCAGGAAGGGGGGCATAGCCTGGAATGGAGAGGTGAACTAGATGAAGTCTCTTCCAGTCCTATTTTTGGTAATTCTCAGAAACCTTCCCTGCGTTCTTTCACCACAAACTCATCAATCCTTGCAATGTAGAGTATGATGTGGAACAGCATCTCCTAAAGCCATCTCTGCTGAATTTAGCCACAGTTGCAGAAGGGGAAATAGAGCCTTGTCCAATTATCTTGATGTTGGTGTTGTGAAAGTTTCCATAACATGTAATGAAGCCTGCTTGGTTAAGGGCCAGATGCTCCTTTGTCCTGAGCTTGAAGAGGAGAGGAGCTGAACCCAGCTCGAGCTGAGCACAGGGGAAAGAAGAGGGGAACAATGTCTCTGCAATGTGGTTTTGCAAAACTGCCACAGAATTGCTGTATCTTGAGTCCTGAGGGACAGGACTTGAGCAATGCAGTATGGTATATTCATCACAGAGTATGAAAAGCAAGATAAACAGCAAACACAAGACCTCTGGGAGGGGCAAAGCACTGATCAGTTGTAGCAACCGTAGTACTGAGGGTCTGTAGCACTGGGTCTGGTCCCACTTCTGTTACTGGTGCCAAATGAGAGTACCAAGGGAATCACATGAAAATCATGCCTGCTGCCAGAGAAAAAGCCTTGCAGAATTCTCTGCAATGAAGTTTCATCTTTTTTGCTGGACTTAGACATAAGAGTTATTAATATGCAACTCAAATGTGACTCTCATTTATTCAGTTTGCTTGCACTACTGCTAGTTCATAAAAAGCATCTGTTTCAAATGCATTGGATTTGTGTCTTCTAAATCATGTGATGCTTTCTGTGAGTGTAGTGGGTCTCCTACTGCAGCATCTTCTGTAAGAGAAATTAACTCAGAATGGTGGCATTATAGATCTCATCACTTAATGCACCTGGACAAGCACACATCTCTACTGCTACTAGGCCAACAGTTAAAAATCAGCTCATAATTTTAAATTATCAGAAAAGAATCTTTGAGTATTATTTACCTGCAAAGAGGTTCTACAAGGTCCTTGTCAAGAAAATCATGATCTTTCTTTACTGCAGCAATGTCAATGGGAAACCGGGAGTCTGTAAAAGGAGACACAATATTAAGATGACTGCTTGCTACCCAAATGAAAATATATCGTCCACATCTAAATTGCTTTGCAAGTGCTTGCTCACTGAAATCTAGTATGACCAATTTCACTCAGCTCTGGTTGCCTTCCAGCTGTACCTGTGACTCTTTCCAACACCATAGTGTTTTTTTTCTGTTAAAGCTATAGCTGAATGTCCAGTGCCTTACCGAGTGACAGCAAAATAATTTCATTTTGGCTTTAAAAAACACTCAGCTGTTAGCTGTTCATTTTAGCACCTTGCATAAATGGATGAGACCAGGGAATTACCACCACACTTACTTTATCTACATGAGCAATAAGGTTTTCCCTTCTCATTACAGTGACTTAATGAGTTATTTGCTAGACATAGCCCAAGCTCCAGAAATGTTCTGTGCTTTTTGTTTTTAAAACAGATCCAAATAACGATGATTTCAGACAGAGAGTTACTCAATAACAGACAAAAAAAAACCAAAAAAAACCAACCCACCAAAACGGAATTATAATCCCCAATATTAGCTAAAAAGCCAGAATAGCATGCTGGAAGCTGACATTTGTAATGAAAAGCGACACAGCTCTGTAATAGTGGGACAGGTTCCAGTGCTGTGGCTGCTCTCCAGACTGCTCTGCCATGCTTAGGTACCTCAGCAGGATGCTGGGATGCAGGAACTTCAGCCAGCATTTTCAGACACTACTGCTCAACACTGACATAATAGATGCCTAAGAAAAGCACCTTGTTTTTGGAGACATAGACTGTCTAGAGCACATATTGACTGCATTGGAACTGTTGAAGCCCAGCACAGGTTGTTTTTTTGGAGGGAACATCCCTTTGAGTTAAGCAGGCAGAAGGCACTCCTTTCTCTGGTGCAGTCAGTATCTGACACTCCGAATACAAGGCAGACACAAAAGTATTACTGGCTACCCAGGGACTGTGGTCGATACACATTTGTGTCAGTTTTGGTCTCGCAGGCTAATTAGTCTTAGTTTTTGCAGGATTTAACAGTCTGCCTGCCTCCTGTGGAGCCACCTGAGCATCTCTGAATGGTGCTCTTGTCCCCAGGCACCTGAGCAGCCCATCAGGACCCAGCACCTGAGCCCTGACGGACCTCAGCTGGCCATGAGGGAGTCCTCAGCATCCCATTCCCTGGCATCCTCAGCCCCACACAAGGGGAGGGATGGCATCCAAGCTGACTCCCTGTGGACTTGGAATTTACCCACGAGGCTCCTTGGCCCTCATTCCATTTGTGGATCTGTGCTGCCTCCAGACTCATGCTGACCCTGGAAGGTGTCCAGAGGTGTTTGGCTGATCTGCTTTTTGGCTAATAAGCCTGAGTGGGCCTGAGCTGGCTTTGTGTCTCTGGCAGGGAGTACATACATTTTGGGAAAAATGGGGCTCAGATGCAGTTTCCCTCTCAGCATTGAGCTGGGGAGAGCTGGAAAACCCAGATCCAGTCCCCAAACTTCAATGAACACAGCAGCAGTACAATCACTTTCCCTGCCCTTGGGGACACTGCTTCCCTGGGCATGAACCTTGTTCCTAGGAAGGGCACACCACCATTTGCATTGAGTTAGCACTGAACTATCAGCTTTTCTTACTTTGCAAATGTAAGGTGCAACTCATGTTATTCACTATTGGTAACTCTGCAGAGTTTTCAGTCTTACTTTCGGCATGATCGAGATTTTCAATAACTTCTAGTGTTTTAATCTTATTTCAGGCACAGTTCAGAAAGTTTTTAGAAAACAGACTCATGTTTCTAGATATTTTGTAGCTGTTTTTGTTAACCTTTGAGGTTTACACAAGCTATGTCCTTTTTTTTTTTTTTAACTTCCCATGGCTACGAGGGTAAGAATCTTACTTTTCTTTATGCACTGGTATGACTCCAGCAGCTGAGGCTTTGTGAAGCATCCAGCCATGGCCATAACTCAGTCAAATGTGGAGTTGGCCGACTGCAAGCTCTCTTGGCAAGGGCCCAGTGCACTTTCAGAACCACACAAAGAGGAGAAAGACCTACTTACCCTCATAGAACTGAGCATATTGGGGAAATCCAGCTGCACGTAACCAGTCACACGCTTCCTTTGCTTCGATTTCTGAGCAAAAAGAGGAAAGAGAAAAAAGTTCACACTTTGTTATTTTGAATTAGAAGTTCTTTCAATTACAAAGAAATAACAAAGAAATTTGGTAGGATCTATTTGCTGCTAAAGTACTGTCATCACTCTGAATCACTTTGTATCATCAGAAGAGAGTCCCTCTAAAAAATCTGCCCGTCTCCACATGGGGTGCACAAAGCCACTTGGTGGCTGGGATGAAGTGTTAACCATCCCCTTGCAGTAGAAGTTGCTCAGCCAGGTTTGTGGCTCTGTGAACTACTCTGCCCCAAGGGTGAGCTGCTGGTAAATGGTGAAGATGGAGCAGGGTGAAAATCGGGTGGCATGGAGCAGGTACTGCTTTCTTTCCTCTTCTGATATTTCTCGTGGAGCAGAATGCCATGTGAAATCCATGGAAAACTCTGCCAGGAAAACCCCAGTGCAGGTGTCATGATACTGAAGGGACAATTGCAGGGGCACCTGTATTTTTCCCAAGCTCCATGGGCTCATATTCTGGAAAGCAGCGTGCTGGGTCCAGCTCTGCCCAGCAACTGCACTGCCTGCATGTGCAGCTGCTCCCAGACCAGCTGGGGGAACAACTGAAAACAGAGGCTCATCCACACAAATGTGGGTTTCAGGGGAAACCTGGGAAACATCTCTGCTGTCTAAACCTAGATCAGGATCTACCACTTGAACAGCTTTGGTTTACAGGATCAAAGTCAAAGCATATATCTGTACCTCTTACATTTGCAAAACATGAAGAACAGAGCATGCAGGTGTTGGAGAAAGTAGACATTTTATGTAGCTTATTAATCAACCTGAACGAACCAGTCAGGAGTTTTGGCACATTTGTGGTTGTAAAATCTAGAAAGCCATAATACAAAACCCTAACTATAAAGAAACAATGGAACTGGAAAACTATGATCAGGCTCAGTTGCTCTTTTGCATGTTTTGCCTTGCATGTGGAAAAAATTGCAGTTGTAAATCAGTTTTCTACTAAAAAGCATTTTTTAAAGTAAGAGATGCTGGCGTGAACTTTTGCTCATGTAATTCTGTTCACATCACTCATCATACCCTTAATGACTTTACTCACTGAAGCTTACTATAAAATCTGCTTTGAATACACTCTGCAGTATGTGACCTGCACACCTTTCTGATCCCCTAAATAATGAATCACACTAGCAAATTTTGTAGCAGAAAATCAAAATTCAGAATACAAGGTCTATGTATCAAAAGCTCAATTTCCCAAAGATGATTAGACAGCCAGGAACTGCTCCACAATGGTCACAATCATTAGCAGTGCTGAAAAGGATTTACCACAAGGTCTTCATTTGCTTTGACATTAGTTCATGTCAAGGCCAGAAAATTGAGTATGAAAGTACATTCAGTTCTTGACACTGCACAAAAGAATAAGCAGCTTACATAAAACGTGGCTCTCACTACAGCACATCTGTGTGCTGAAAGCACATCTCTATTATGTTCCAGTTAGACTATTTCTATTAAATGCTTGGAAAAAAGACAAGTTTTTATACTTTTTTTTCTTTTGCTTAATTCAATCTCATGAAACACAGACAAATCAATCCCATTTCAAAATGTATTTTACAACTCAGAACAGCTGTACATTCTAGCTTCATCTGGCCTGGAAACACAACTGACAGAGGCTGTGGGTGATGGAGAATGCTACCATTTAATGCTCTTATATGCTTATCATATTTCAATGTTTTTTTGCAGTTGGCTGCTCAGAGGAGCTTGCTGAGAAATATTCCTGCAGCCCAAATGAGATCTAAAACATCTCAGGTTGCAGTGGGTGAGTAATTACAGGGAATAACCAAGAAAGTAGATCCCACTCTTTTCTGAGGTTTTGGATTTAGTTTTTTGTGTTGTTTTTTTTGGTTTTTTTAACTTTTTTTTTTTTTTTTGTGAGATTGTTTGCAACACACTGTATTCAGTCAAATATCATTGACTGATTAGCTTCTGCCTTCAAAACTTTGGTTCTATATCCTCCATAAAGGCATTGCTGGGGGATAATCTCATTTTCTGAATTACTACCTCAGCCTTGAGTAAGGTTTGCTAAGCTGAGTCTCAAGACACATATCAGTTCCCAGTTCCCTCCCATACCTCTCTGTCTGGTCTTATTCAGGGGACAGCAGAAGGAGAGAAGTGCATCAGGCTGCTGGCACAGCCCAAAACATGACTTTGCTCATACAAGTGTGTTCCCACTGGCTAAAGGCACCTGTTCCAGTCATTCCCCCCTTGGTCCCTACTACAATTTAGGTGAAAAGGCACCAAACAAAGGATTCACTCCTCAGCATATATCAAAGGTGATTTCTACTATTTTGCCCTGGGCAATATAATCCAAGTTATAGTTCAGAATGCAATATAGATGCTTTTATTACTGCACACTGCAATGTTTGGACGATATTTTGACATGCTAAGTTTAACCTTCTCTTTTTGTGCTCATATCCTAATATTTGCTTTTTCTTACTTCACAGTGAAACATTAGTGAAGAGTTCTTTGGGAAGAGATGTGTAGCACCAAAAAGACCTCAGTGGAGGTGTCAATGAAGGGTGGTAGAAATACTTTTGGCAGTGTTGTCCCAGTTCTGTTCCCATGTCCAGGCTAATACAAAGGTAGTACACACATCCTGCCTGCAGCATATCCACTGTCTTGGTGCAGCACTGAAGGACTTAGAAACCCACATGTGTTTCCAAGTTTCCACATGTGTTCACAGGTGGCACCAAGGCAGTTTGTCAACAGCAGAGAGAAGGGCTGTTGTGAGATGAGTGATTTCAGAGAGGACATGGCTCAAGGCTGGCAGAAGGCACAGTTCCTTCAATTCCTACCAGAAGCACATGAGCCACCACTGACCCACAAGCAGCATCTCCCTCGGCAGGACCAAAAAGGCTGCTTGCCCCAAGCACACCTGATGGTGGGTTTGTCCTTATGCACCACTGCTCTGCTCTGTGGCTGGAAAAAAAATTGGGATAATTTGCCTACTGCTTTCCACCTGCTCGGGCAGCAGTTAACAACAACCATTAGCTATTAAGGCTAGATAATAATTCAGTCCCAGATACTGACAACTGTCAGTATGTCTCACTGGACTTGAATTCTAAGGAGTTTCTTTTCAGTTTCTAATTGAAGCTTGGAAGAAAGCAAATTTCTCTTTTCCATTTCATTTTTCTACTAGTAGTGAGCTATAATTCAGAGCAAAATGTAGAGAGAGGTTCACTCAGGAAATGTGACAAGTATTCAGAGCACAGCTGGGTCTTTGAGTCCATCTCTAGTATTAAACAAGTTTGAGCTTATCTCCTACAAACCATGTGGGTGGCTCTGGCTGTTCTGGGGCTGAAATGAAGACAGTTGTTTGCCATCTCTTCTGCTCTTCCAACGCTTTCTCTGATTCTTCACGATCCACTTTGTTTCTGCCCAACACCAGACAGTTTAGCAGCCAGCTGCCACCATTCTCGCCCTGCCTATCCAACGCCAGCTGGCTGCTTCTCCTGCTTCCTTTTGTGCCACACTAGCTCCTGGCTAACCCTTCAGAGACCCAGCTCAACTCCCTAAGCTTGGAGGGTGCAAAACTAACCCTCCAAAAGTGGGAATGGTCTGCTGTTGGATTAGCAAACTGACCCAAATCCTCTAAGGGTTCTGTTTAATCTATGTTAGCTGCATTTTAACAAGCCCAAGAAAGCCAAACCACTGGAAAGGTCCTTCTCTCACAAGAGGAGCACAGAAGAACTGTCCAAAAAGTTGTTTGGAGAAAAGCTCTGACAAGAGAAACTCATGTAAATGAATTAATTTTCTGGCTTGGAATCTTATCACCATCCACAAATATCAATGCTAAAGACCTAGTTACTATAGTCCTTTCCCTTTTCCTGTCTAGATATCAGTATTTAATCTTATTTCTGCCTTTCTACCATTGTCCCTATCTCTTCTTTCTTCTGTTTTGGTATTTCTCCTTTTTTAAAAAAACCCTACGTTGTTGTTTAAAATGTAGATGTCCCTTTGCACAATGCAGTGAAAGATTTAGTAACTAGAATAAATAAGGCACATAATTACCCCTTCTATTGTGTTTATGTCAACTTTATGTGATAACCTTTATTGTTCATCTTCTGTAACAAATCACTGTTAATGTTCACTTTAGTATTCCCCCTGTATTGCTCACATTTAGATCTGATTTACTAAATTCAGACAAAATATCTGGGAATGTTAGAGAAAATGATTAAACAATTAATTAGAAAGAAGTGCATTTTACTTATTTTTATTTATTTTTATTTATTTTTATTTATAATAATAATTATTTATTTTTATTTATTTTTATATTTTATTTATTATTTTATTTATTTTTATAGAGCCACACCAGTGAGCGAGTGGTTATTCTCACAAAGGTTACATCAACGTTTGATCCTTGACTTACTCTTTCCTGCAAGAGGAGGAAAACTGTTGGGATGAGTTTGTGCTACATCTTCCAGAACAAAATCTACCTGGCATTCTAGGGTCAGTTTGGAGGCTCAGCTCAACCCAGGGTTGTAAAATGCCTTTTAGTCTCAGGAATTGCTGGGGACTTCTATGAAAGGTAAAGCAGAGAACACTCCTGGGGAGGAAACACTGATGGTGTCTTAGGCCTGAGGCATGCTCCAGGCAGCTGTAGACACTCAGACAGCCTTTCCTCACAGGTCCTGATACATCCCTTGTGTTCCATAAATCTGTCAAGTCACCAACAAGCAATGTCACCACCCTGATGTCTTCCCAGAAGAGCACTCATGAGGGAAGACAGGTTCTTTAGAAAAGTTCAGTTCAAGCTGAAGCTGTGTGAGAACAGTTGTAGCATGTTTCAACTTCTTGCAGCTCAGTCTGAGATACTTCTATGGCTGCCATTACTCTCCTGGCCCTATATCTCACAGCCTTTAGGATATTTATGTTACTCTTCTCGTTTTACAGATGGGGATTTAAAGTACTTCAGTAGTACATAAGCAGGTTAGAGGTAAGGTTGATGGGAATTA